CCCTTATTTTTCCCCGGCATTTGACCATTTTGGGGTCTTGTTATTGTAAAAACCAAATTGACGTCAGTTTGTTATGCGTCTGTCCTTTTATTGATGATAAATTGGGTCATAACATTGTCAAAGTTTATTGCGGAACCACAGCCACTTTGACAATGTTATGACCCAGTTTATCAATTATAAGAGGACAGACGCATAAAAAACTGACGTCCATTTGTTAAGTTTAGGGCTAGTTTACGCGTCTTTTCCCCTTATTTATTCCCGGCATTTGACCTGTTTGGGGTCTTGTTATTGTAAAAAAACAAATTGACATCAGTTTTTTACGCGTCTGTCCTCTTATTGATGATAAATTTCGTTCCACAGCCACTTTGACAATGTTATGACGCAATTTATCATCAATACGAGGACAGACGCATAAAAAACTGACGTCAATTTGTTAAATCGACAACGGCAAATTAGCCAATCAGATTGCGAGATTAGCAGCAATTGTGGTAAAAATAGAATATAGAATTCAATGTTTATTCGCTACGCGCGATTAGCGGCGCCATTGAACGGCTTTTGAAGAGGCCAGCACATAACTCATTAATCTCGCATTCAATAAAAGCAAAAATACCAGATCAACTCTACTGTGGAATCAAATATGAACTATTTAGGCTATCTAGCTAGTAACGTGCGATAGACGCCTTTAGTTGAGGGACTTAACCATGTAAGAACATTTTAATGGAAAGTAGAAGAGACTGAAACATCCAACAAAGGCAGGATTGCGTTGACCTGCAAGTGCACTATTTATCGGGTCTGGAGTTACCTGTCTCTAGTTCCTGTTGGACCACATGCGCCGTTGGTGTGAGTACTGTTTTTATTTCCTGTTGTATCACGTGATCCCTACCTTCATTTCCTGTTGGGTCGGCGTTAGAAACTGGTTCTCCTGAACCCATGAAACGCATTATTGTTCCGGTGAATATTTCTTCCATTATTTTCATCATCGATTGAAGAACTTTATTGGCGTCGTTCCTATCAATCAGCACCTAGAAATAGTAATTTAGATTGCACCAGTTTTTGTGTTACTGACTTTCCTTAGAATCCAATGAACAAGTCCGAGCTAAGACAACACTGAAGACAATTTTTTTCCCCCTGAATGTTATTTAGACTAGCGGTGTAAAGGTGTTAGAGAATTAAAGCATGACGTTTACGGCAGACGGCAAACGGCAAAGATTACCTCTGATTTTTTATTCTTTTCTTGTAATCCTTAAATAAATCACACAAAACTAGAAAAATGTCTTCTACTATTCACTGCAAATACAGATATTTTCACTCTACTGTACAGACAGCTGAAGACACACGGCAAAAGTTTCATTTTTGCCGTTTGCCGTTTGACGTAACGTCATGCTTAATCTCTCTGTTTCCTCTGGCCACAAATCCAAATAAGACATAGACGACAGTGTATTTCAACATAGTCAGCATTCACTGCAAATGATGATCTCAGTTGGAATAATGGCTCTGATTTTCTGTTCAAAAGATTCCAATAACACATTTTATCGTAGATTAGATATTTGTCGTGTCAGGGTTTTGAGGCTCCATGTCGCATAATGAAGCAAGATCCTGGGAACATGATTGTTGGACTGTTCAATGTTCCCGCAGCCAAGTCTACCAGCTTTACACAATAACAACTGTAAACGAGTGCAATAGCTACGTGCTTACAGTCGTCCTAAGATAAGGTATTTACTGACCAATCAGAACGTGCGCACACCTGTTTTTCTCCCCACTGGGCTTGTGGTAACCCTTCTAACTCAGCTTTTAAGCGCTTCCTCTCAGCCTCGTGCCAGCTCAACAGGTCACGAATACTATCTGGATCCAAAGTTGTACTTCTTGTACCAGAGGGAATATAAACAACGCCTTGACGTTTGGTTTGAGGCAAAGTCTTTAATAAGTCTGGCACTAGAGACGAAGGTTTATAGCAATGGAGAGCGTCTTCGTTATCGCCAGCGAATGAAACACGGCGAGAGAGCTCTTCCATCATTTGAACTCTTAGATCTGCTGGCTTCTGATCACTTGAAGCTCTTCTTGGAAACTTGACTCGTGGAATAGGAAGTGGGGAAGGTGGTGGAACGCGAGCTAAATCTTCATGATCATCACTTCCAACTGATTTCCTTTTCAACTCTAGAAGCAAGTTATTTTTTAACTGTCCCATTTCTTTGTCGCTCAAATTCATTGGAACCTTCAAAACTTTTGGCTTCTTCTTACGAGCCAACTCTTCATCTCTTTTAGCAGCCATTTCCTGGAATCGCTCTCCAAGAACGTTGTTAAGTTTTAGAGCAAAACTGTCTTTCCACTTCTTGATCTTGCGAAATGCTTGTTGCTCTATTTCTGATGCGTACTTAGGACTGTCTGTCAGAGGGGAAACTGAGGCGAGTGTTGCTCTACGCCCAGGCTCCTTTTTCTTCCATAATTTCACAGCACCTTCAACTGTGGTTGACCGATCATCGCTGCTTTCTGTTGAAACGTTCTAAATAAAGATATAATAAACAATTATTCTGCGAAAACGTGTGGAATGTGACCAAGTGTGCCGCGGAGGACTTAAGAGTGCCTGCCTGTAAAAATCAGACAAATTCTTAATTTCGCGGCAAGGGTCGAAAATTCGATTTCGCTCATATTCCTATGGTAGATAGGTTAGGGCATGACAAAAACTACTGGATAGTTTTTTTGGCAAAATATCCTTTTATTTCAAAGAAA